GCGTGCGTAGGTATGTACGTGTGTGGTTATATATTACCGAGGTCGTACGATGTCGGGAAGAACGTGTCTGTGTTGACGAGCGCCTCAGACGAGTAGCGCAGCAGTGTGCGCGTGAGGCCCCCCTTGGTCGTCAGCTCCCTGTTTCCACGAAAGTGATTGAAGCACTGACCTACACACACACGCACACACACACAGAGACACAGGGAAATGTATACGCTGCCTTCCTTGTCGAGTCGAGTCGATAGCGTATAGCTGCATTGCATTGTATGCATGTGTGCTGACCGTCGATGAGGCGGTTGTACTCCGACTGGTCGTCCCGTATGGACCACTTGAGGTCAAAGAAGGGCGACTGATACTGAGAGGGCGGCGCCTCTGTACACATCACATGGGGTAGTGACACACATCATATCAATCATACAATAAGTATAATTAATGTGTGTACTGTAGGTGTGCTGTGCGTGGGTACCGACCGTACCCAGCCAGTGCATCGAGAGAAGCGTCGACCTCACTGCAGTCATACCATAACCACACACAAGCGAACCGAACGCTGCGCTGCCTGTAGTTAGTTGTGTGTCAATCCACGGTGTCCAGCCAGTGTGGTCAGTTACATACATACCTGCCTCCTCAACGCCGTTTGGCCGCAAGAGACGCTCACCTGTATACATACAAATCAAATACACACACACATTCACTTCATGAAGCCAAGCCAAGCCAGCCACATTTATTCCCACATCATCCATCCATCCATCCATCCATCACACATGACATGCGGTGCGCACCGCACCGGAGTCGCTCTCGTCCGCTGCAGTGGGCCGATAGAGAGCACCATTGGCCTACATTCACCAATGAATAAATTGGATGGATGGTTGGTTAACTTAACACACATGGCGTGTGGCCACAAGACAGACAGTGAATTTGATGCATGTACTGACTGTACTGTCCGCACCCACCCACCCACCCGCTCAATGACGAAGACGCGTCTCCTTCCCGTGTCTCTGAGCCACTCTGACACACCTAGATAGGAACGAACGGACACACAACACAACATGACATGGACGACTCGGTGGATGCGGGTGTCTTGTGTGTGTGGATGGGGCAATGAATGAGTACATGTGAGTATTGGGTTGGGGTTGGGCGTCTTGCGAATCCTCAGCATCGAGAAGTCCATCCGCACACTCCCGTCGGGCGACCTGGCTCCTCGCAGCGACCGGAAGAAGGATGCGTGTGGATCGTCACCCACTGCATGCCATGCAGAAGGGCGTGCAGTGCAACAGTGGGTGTGTAGACTAGACGCAGGCAGACATTGTCCGTTCGTATCGTATCGTACGTGCCAGTGGAGTGTTTTCGACGCTTTTGCTCCGCCTGTTGGCCGTACGGCGGGCGCGGGAGGGCGGCACACTGATGGATGGATGCCATCGATGGGATGGGTGGCCCGGCAGGCACGATCAAGGAAGGGATGAGAGACACACACATGTGATGTGTGTATATTATTGTGGGGGGTAGGTCAGTCACCTGTCGGCCCGTGTGTAAGGAGGGCGATTGCAGGCCGACCGTGGCCGGGTGGCTTGAGAGTGACCACGGGGGGCCCTCCTGTGTATACGTATGCACACACACACACACGCGTGGACAGAATGCGTGTTGGCCCCCATACATGTCACAAGCTAGGTACCTTTGGTGTCCCCTGTAGGGCGTGTTTGGGCAGCTGTCGTAGTGTGCTCCCATCATCTGGGTCAGGAAGGTGCTGCCGATGCCCGTGTGGTCACACGGGGCGACACTGGGGTCGGTGGTGGTGAAGGGGCTGGGTAGGGTGGGGTGTGCAGGCAGACAGACAGACAGACAGAAATGAGTGAGCGGATGGAGGGATGGATGTTTGGAAGGGCAGGTAGTGTACCTTGTGTGTGTGTCCGTGACGAGAGTGCAGCCGTTCCTTTTCCTGTGTGTGGCGGGCGGACTCCTGCGCCTGCATTTCACTCACACACACAAATGCGCACCACGCCACCCACCAGCGAGCCACGTCCCCGCCCACCCCACCCAGCCGCCCACTAAGCCATGCACCTTTGTGCATAGGTGTATGTGTTGTCCATCTCTTTCCGAAGCTCTTTCTCCATCTGCAGGCAGGCAGGGGAGGGGATGAGTGCCGTGCCGTGAGTTCACATCACAAGAGCCTCTGTCTGTCTGTCTGTCTGTTGTGTCTGTCTGTCCCTCTCTGTCTGTCTGTCTGTCTGTCATTCCATTCATCTCAATTGATGTCTACCTTCTGCAGGAACCTGTTGATGCGCACGGACCCCGGCACTGGCTGCGAGTAGGGGTTCGGGGCGAAAGACGGCTGCTGACGCTTGTTGGGGACCACCTGAAGACATAGCAAGCAGACCCGACGACTGCCAGTGAGTGTGTGGGGGCGAGTGAGGGTACATGTGGTGTGGTTACTTGTGCGTCGAGTGTGAGGGGGAAGTGCAGGATGTCTCTCGGCTGGTGGCGTCGCTGGTGGGTGCCGCTGTGGTGGCGATACACACTCCCATCTGCAGCCAGTGCACACAAGACAAGACGGATCGACACACACAACCACGTGTATATATGTATCTGCCCTGCAGGCACACATTGCAAAAAAGCCTGACTGTCAGACCGTGTTGTGTGGTGACTCTCCCGCCGCTGTCAATGAGGCCCTCCTTCAACATGCACTGGCAGCCACACAACGTACGTGCATGGCATCACACACGAGTGCTCATCGTTGACTGCAGTAGATGGACACGCACATAAGTAGGTACCTACTTGCAGTTTGCGCAGGGTTCTCTGTGCAAAGATGAAGCTGGGGTCGTACGACGGCAACCGATAGTCAAATACAGGGCCCTCTGATGGTTGTTGTTGTTGTTGCTGCTGATGTGCCATCCTTCCCTTGCAATGAACGCTGCACGCACTGTCAGCCTGGCGGGGCTATCGGCTGCTGTGTATGTTGTCCTCTGCTGAGAGGGAGAAAGACTGCAGCATCTCCGAGACTCGGGAGCCTGGGGGCGCCCCCACCTTAAAGCGCAGCCGCATCTCTACCCCACACTCGGCAGCCCAGCGGCAAAGCAGCAACCGGCGACTGATCTGTCTGTTGATATCCATTATCCATCACATTATTCTACTTCACGGCCCAGACACACACGCAGGCAGTTCTGCGTTGTCTCGTCTGTCAGCCGCGTCTACATCTCTCGCATCCATCGATCCACCATGGGCATGGGCAAGGGCATGCAGGTGAGGCGGCTGAAGAGCGACGGTCGGCCGAGAGAGACTCATCCATCCATCCATATATGACATGATTGATAAAGGTCTAGTCAAGTCAGTCAGTCAGTCCCAGGTGTTCTTGATCGTGTCGGACAGGTCGCGGAGGTCCTTCCAATGCCTGTAACGAGACGTCTTCTTCCTAAACACGACAGGATGGATGACCACAGGTGAGGTGCAGAGGCGATGCAAGCACGTGCCGAGACATCGTGGTTGGCCTCACCAGAGGTAGTAAAAGTCGATGCACTCCTTTGTTGTCTTCGTCTCGACCTGACACACCACCACAAACACAGGGGTGTCACCTAAGTAGAAGGTGCCGGCCATGGTTTCTTGTCGTCTTCTGGTGTGTACCAGTTTGGCGATCTTGTGGAAGTCCTTGCCGTACCGACATATCGCACCCTGCAGGCAGGCAGGCAGGCAGGCACGATGTCACATACATCCCTCCCTCTTGTCGCCCGCCCCGCCCACTCCGCACTGACCTCAAATATCATGACCTCCTTGGGCCCCCACAGATCTGTACATAAATAAATAACACATACATATATACATAGATCAAAATGGAAGCTGCTTCCAAGCTCAGGTCGCACGAGTGCCCAGCTACCTATTGTGTGGCTGTGTCTGTATTTTGAGATGAGCAGGTCGAAGGGCGTCATCTTGGTCGCACTGTTCGTCGCCGCCGACGCAGACGACACTCGTAGCCGCTTCTCGTTGGCTGCAACACACAACACACAACACACGACAGCTAGAGGCGGCGTCTATCTGCGGCATTCTCTCCAGCTGAGTGGCATGGTGCCCGTGTGTGTCTGACGTACGGAGTATTTGTGCCTGGATGGCTTCGCGAGTGCTGCTGTAAGCTTGACCATGATACCTACAGGCAAGGATTGCAGTGACATCACGATCGAAGCAATGAAGGGAGAGTAAGACGGAGATACAGCGCGACGACGAAGACCCTGCTGTCCTGACTGACATTGTGGCGCAGAGCTCCAAGTAGGTCTCAACGTGATCCATCTTGGAACCTGCGACAGACAGAGGGAGGACAGCCCTGTACTCCCGCATGTCGGTAGGTACCTGCCCCTGCCTCCCCCCGACGTACGCGAGGCGACAGCCTGTTTGCGATTGAAGACGGCACTTCTGGTGGGGGGCTTCCCATCTCCACCACCAGCAGCAGCAGCAGCATTCGACGACGGCTGCCCGGCCCACTCCTCGTCCATGAGGACATCTCCATCCATATCAACTTGTTCAGCGATCGGCCCAGCTTCTTCATCGTCCTCAGGCCTCACAGGCGACCTCCTCGGGCCTCCAGCTCTGGTGCTCTCGCGCACACGACTGGAGCGTCGTGTGCTGGCAAGGGGGCCATATCGCCCGTAGTAGCTGTTGCCATTGACAAGATCGTCACGCTCACCAGCTGGGCCGCTTGATGACATTGGTGGGACGGTGCCGTCCTTGCCGCTGGATGGGGGCTGACGAGACCTGATTGGGGCATCTTTCGGTCTGACGAGTGTCTTGGAGAGGCCGTGCTCCTCCCGTACGTCGCGAAAGGTCTGGATGAGCTGAGAGTAGGTGCTGCGAGATAGCCCTTGCCTGCTGAGCTCGGCCGGCGGCCGGAGCTCCCCTTGTGCGTCGGAGGCCTCCCAGTCAGCCGCCTCTATGCGGCCGAACCCAGACTGCAGCCTGATGAAACAAACAAACGCACCCAACAAACATGGCTGTTTGGTGCCTTTCTCTCACGCCGGTTGTGCATATTGTGGCTGGCCTGTTCGTTCGTTTGTCTGTGTGTGTTGGTTCCTTACTTGACAATCTGCGGCAGCATCCGCTCCACATCTCCATCCGTGTACTTGACATAGTACGTCTCCTTCAAAGATAAAGGAAGATAGAAAGAAACACGCACACAGACCGACAGACCATCACAGTCAGTCAGTGGCGAGAGTGAGAGGGCTGAGAAGTGTCTGTCTGTCACGGCTGGCTGCTCAATATAATCACCTTGGGTTGATCTGTCTTGGATGGGTCTGTTTTCGACCCAGACCCCGCCAGCTCCTGCACACAAACAAACAAGGAACCACAACACGACATCACACCTGACCGGCCGCTGTGCTGCGTAGAAGCGTCCGTCATTCCTGGCTTATTGGCCACCAGCATGCCGACCTACCTTGAAGCAGACTATTCCCCAGTACTTCCTGCCCTCGTAGCGCTTCCACAGGCAGTGGCCAACCAGATGGTCATCCTCCAGACGCACCGCCATTTCCCTCCTGAGGGGGCTTCTTCTCAGCTCTTTGACCGACCACACCGAGAGTGGAGCCTCTGGGACGACAGACGCGCCTGCAGACAGACATCGACGCACAGACCGAGCCATCCACACCCAATGGCATACCCGCCGCAGCCGGCTATGTGCTCTGGTGCCTGGTGGTGGGGGTGTAGCCGTCCCCCGGCGCTCTGGCGCGAGTTGTTCGGGCGGGGAGGCACAGAATTAACCTCTACTCACACACAGAAATGAACACCCACACACCGGCAGCCTCTGTCCGTCCCTCCGTGTGTCTTTTGTGTGTGCGTACCAGCGCACTGCTGCAGTGACAAAACGAAGAAGGGAAAGATGAGATCCCTGCCTGCTGCATACACACAGACAGATGCACACAGACACACACAGACAGACAGACATACGCGCGCAGGTATGTGTTCGGTCGGCGTCTGTTACGTACGTCAGCGTCTGTCAGCGGTGGAATCTGGTGGTGAAGGAGAGAGAGGCGATTTCGTAGGGTTGCAGGGTTTGCGTGCGAGCTCAGGGAGGGACGCTCGACGAAGGGAGGTTTTTTCGACAGCGCAGTGGCAGATCTGACACAAGAGGTATGCTTCTCACTCGTGCATTACGTGTTTGGGGCCGCAAAGAGGCAGGCGATGGCGGCACACAGACCACCAGAGAGGAGGGGCTGCTCTTGACGCGCACAGACAGAGAGGAGAGAACAGCCAGAAGCAGAGCACACACAATGGATGACGTGGCAGCACGCTGCGCACCGGAAAGAGAGAGAAGCATAGCAATCAATGGGCTGACTGACTCGTGCCTGCCTGGGTGTGTGTGTTTCCCTGTGTGTGTTGGTGTGCAGCCACTAGGTGATCGATTTGTCATGAGTTGACTGAGAGCTGCCACTGCCCATTTTTGCGTCATTTTTGACTCTTGCCTGTGGGGTGCGTGGTGAGCCGTCACACACAATTGTAGCACACACGGCCATCACTGCACACCGCGAGCATCGTCTCTCTCCCTCCCTCCCTCCCTCCCTCCCTCTGTGTGTGTGTGTGTTGGCATTCATAAAATGTGTGTACACTGCAGATGAATTCGGTGGGTGGTGGTATGGCGGGCGGTGGTGGAGGGTATGGGCAGCAGGAGCCACCACACACAGTACCGGCCAGACCACAGTGGCAGGTGGGTCGGGGTGGGGTGGGTGACACACCAGCAGTGAGGAAAAGCGCCCTGTCTTGATGGATGATGGTTTTGTGACCTTTCCTGTCCGCAGGAGTATGCCACCCAGGAGGGCAGGTGGGTCAACACATGAATGACAACTGTGTGCATTGCATTGCAATGCATTGAATTGCGGTTGGACGGCGTGGCGTGTGTGTTGTCCGTACAGGCCCTACTTTTATAATCCAGCTACCGGTGTGACGACGTGGGAGCGGCCACCTGAACTGGAGAAAGAGGTCAGTGAGTCAACGGCTGGGGGGATAGCTGTATACCCACACACGCACAAACTGAACTGGCCAAGGAGACGACCATCTGTAGTGGGTATGGGGTCTGTCCGTGTGTGTCTGTATGTGTGTGTGTGTGTGTCCACAGACGTCTGCGTCTGCAATGCCCTCAGCGATGGCCAAAGTGGGTCGATTCCGACCGGACACAGTGTGCTGTGCTGTGCGTCATCCTTGTGTGTATGTCTGTATGCTTGAATCAATTTAGGCGGCGGGCGGTCCACCGGCAATGGCACCACAAGCAGCAGCAGCAGCAGCAGCGGCGGCAGCGGCAGCGGCAGCAGCACGGGTCAGTCAGTCAGGTCACACTCTCACCGACCGCACAACCACCAACCAAAGTCACAACAACAGTCAGTAGTGCACACATGGCATGTGTGTGTGCATGGAATGGCTGCAGACCGCGACGCCTTTGTGGACCGAGTACCAGACGCCAGAGGGAAGGTACAGACTCACACATACACACCCTCACACATACACACACATCGATCACACATATCATATGATATCCGCTGTCTGGTCTGTGTGTGCATCTGATCTGATCTGATTGCCCCCTGCAGGCCGTACTACCAGAACAATGCGACGGGCATCACCACATGGGAGCGGCCGCCTGAGCTCGGTGCCGACAGACAGACTGAGGTACGCACACACACAGCACAGGGAAAGGGAGCCTGGCCTGGCCCCTGGCCTGAGCTGACAGCAAACATATGTACAGACCGGTGTTCCGTCTGTCTGTCTGTCTGTCTGTCTGTGTATGTGTCCGAATGCAATGCAGGCGTCCCTTCCTTCGTCGTCACTGCAGCAGGGCGCTGGTGCGTCCACACAAATGAATGACACACAGACAGACAGACAGACAGCCGCAGGGACGGACAGAGGCTGTCGGTGTCCGAGTGTCCATTTCTATGTTTCTGTCTGTCGTGTGTGTATGTGATGTGTGTGAGTGAAGGTTCTGTGCCGTCATCGTCTCACGGCGCCATTGGGGGCACCACCCCTAGCGGACAGGTCCACGGACCGCCTGGTGGGCACACACACACACACGCGCACACACACACACGCACAGACAGCCACACATCCGTCTATGTGTGTGTCAGGTGCGAACATCTTTATATTTCATGTGCCCAACGAGTGGACGGAGAACGACCTCAACACGCACTTCAGGAAATATGGAAACATCATCAGGTTAATGCGATGGATGGATGGATGCCTTCCTGCAAGCGTACGTGTGCCACATTGGAATGCGTGTGTGCTGCCTTTATTCAGTTCGTGCATCGTGACTGACAAGCAGACGGGCCGCAACCGGGGCTTCGGATTCGTCTCCTTCTCTGACGTATCACATACACACACACATGCATCGCATCGCATCACACACATGGATGGGATGGCTGGACGGATGGAAGTGACACCTTACTTAGCCGCACGCGTGTATAGATGTGTATGTGTGTGTATGGATGTGTGTATGTGTGTGTAGGTTGTGTCGGCGGTGAATGCTGTGCAGGGGATGAACGGATTCCAAGTGCAGGGTACGTACGCTGTCTGCGGTACTAGCTAACCCACATGAGCCATCATATATGCTATGCCATGCCCTCCCTGCACTTACAGCACCAACGCACCGCACCACAGACACGAATGTGTTCATTCTCTTGTGTGTGAGCTGAGCAGGGGGCAAAAGGCTGAAGGTCCAGATCAAAAAGGTACGCACACACCGCACAAGTGTGTCCTTCCATCCAATCGTGTGTGTGTGTGTATGGGATGCAGGGCGAGGAGACGTACATCCACAACGTTCCCGGCGCAGGTCAGTCACTCCCACCCCACCAATACAGACAGACACCTGGATATATTGGATGTAGGGAATGCTTTCGTTGCGTATGTCTGTCTGTCTGTCTGTGTGTGTATCAGCAGAGGCGCTCAACACCATGAGCCAGCCGTTCATGGGCGGAGGAGGAGGCCCATTTCACGGTAGGTACCCACACCTCACACCCACCCACCCATCCATCCATCTCCTTGTCGACGCATCCATTCGCGTGTGCATTCAGGTGGTCCTGGTCCGCACGGGATGCCCCACGGTCAGCCTGGAGACCAGATGGCTGGCGGAGAGGTGGCCAGGCTGCGGGGAGAGCTCAGCATGACACAAAACAAGTCAGCACACCACAGCACAGAGCCACGAACAAATGCACTGATTTAATGCGTGTGCCCATCCCCCCCATCCGTCAATTGCCTTGCTTGTTTGTGTAGGGTTCAGCAGCTGCAGACGGAGAACAGGATGCTCACCGACCAAGTCAGAGAACTACAGGTAGGTAGCAATTGTTACCATACACACAGACACATACACAGACACAGACACACGCCACTGCGTCCGTGGTCATTCATTTGTGGATGCATTGACTTGTGGGTGGATGCGTTCAGAGGGCGTTGGATGCGGAGCGCGCCAAGGCTGCCGGTGTCCCCTCGCCACAGCCACCACAGCCGCAGCTGGCCGACCCCCAGATGCCCCCGGACAGCGGCACTGGGCCACAAGTGCCTATACAAACGCTCACACACATGGCATCCCATCCATACATCCATAAACCCATGTGTGGTGAGTGATTTGCAGGAGCATCCATCGGCAGCAGCAGCAGCGGGTGTGGGTGTGGGTGTGAGTGAGGGGGAGCCTCCCGTGGTCCCACCAGCGACTGATGACCAGCCGGCGACCGACGGCAGCAACAGCCAACAGCAGCCCCTACAGTAAGTAAGTCACACCTTACGTGCACATATAGAAACATCAATACCCACCCCACCAGATGGGATGGCCTTCCTTCATCGCCACGCCCCTCTGCCTGTGTGCTCATAGGTACAGCTCGCCGACTCTTGAGTGAACGAGACGAGGATGGGGTGGGGTGGGATGGGAGGAGAGCATGGAGGGACGTCTTGTGTCCGTGTGTGAGTGAGGGTTCGTCTGGATGTCTGTCTGTCTGTCTGCCTGGATGGATGTCTTTATGCGTATTTTAATCCACCCATCAGCCACCCACCCACCGACTCACCTTTCTTCCTGTGTGGGTCCGCCTGACGGCCGGTGCGTCTTGCTTCCCCTTAATGAATGCATTGCGGGGTGGGGCACCGCACCGCACCCTGTTGGTTTTGCTGCCTGCTGGCTTTATCCATGAATATTTCTCACATTAATGCGGGTGCCTTGCCTTCCGTCCTTGGGTGGATGGGCGAATTTGAAGGCACACATACACACACATACAGAAATACATACGAAGATCCCTCCCTCCCTCCCTCCCTCTCTGCCTCTCTGCCTGCCAACCAACGGTTTTCATGTTTTTGTATGTTAATTGCTCGTTCTCTCTTGCCCGGCCGGCCGGCTTGACGTGACCCGCATCGCATTCCTTCGATGGATGGATGGATGGCTGGCTGGATGATAGGAACGTTAACTAACATATGGCCATATGCTATGCACGACACAAGATACACATGCCTGTGAACACGCTGATGAGTGAGTGGGTGATGAGATGAGTGGTGATATGACCGTCCCTAAGGTGTTTTTGCTGCGTGTCTTTATGGGAAGGCAGACAACAGACAGACAGACAGACAGACAGACAAGCAGACGGACAGACAGTTTTCGCCAAGTTGCCCTGATTGGAACGGATCAGATGGATCACATCCGTCATACCCCAATCATTGCTTTGTCTGCTACTATACCACAGAGCACACTCAGACATACATACCATAGCTATCCAGCCACCGCACACAGTCGACGTAACACACACAGACGCACCGCACCGCACCTCATGCAGACGGACAGAGGGCGAAAGAAAACCAGCTGCTTTGCTTTAAGGTCTATCTCTCGCCCCTCATGCTCCAAAGCGACGATATATCGACAATCTGTACACTGACGGACGAGTGATCCGCAAAAACGCCATTATCTATCTGTGTGTCTCTTATCTATCTTCACGACGGACCATTCCACCACCCGCTCCCATCCCGCCACACCATTCCCCCCAGGTGCTCCCCCAGCACTCTCATCACGACGGCACGCGTCTCGTCGTGAGGGGCCGACTCCGTCGTGGAGATAAGCACACGGCGGCCGTACCCCTCATAAGCCAGCAGCTGAATGAATGCCATGTTGTTCCCCTCGCCCATCGCCTCACTGCCCAGCACCACCAGCCGATCATGCCGCACCCAGCCAGACGACTTGTTGTCGAACACAGCCGCCCCTGCCCCCCACTGTGCCGCATCGCTGGGAGAGGCCGCCAGCAGATCATCTACACGCCGATATGCAGCAGAAGCCGGAAGGCGAAACAGCCAGAATCCTCGACGGTGAGACAACCGGCGGTTGTGGTCCCCGTACCAAAGCCACTCCGCCAGGACGAAAGCTACCATTGAGGTGTAGGTTCGGTACACCTTGTGACCCCACCGCTGGTCCGGCAGTGTTGGTGGGTCGGCGGGGTCGAATGCGTCGGGGCCGGTCAGGACGGCGAGGAGTAAGTAGGTTGCGAGAAGGAGTAAATGTTGCTGCCTGATGGATCCATCAGGGATCTCTGCTGGCCTCCACGATTGATAGTGACCCCCCAGCTGAGTATCCTCCACTGGCGGATAACCTCCCTCTCACTCATGAAGGCCGCCCGGCTGCCGAACACACTGAAGCTGTCGTCACTCAGCACCACAGGCGTATTGCCCCTCAGCAGATACAGCATCTCGAGCACAGGCCGCCATCTGGCCCACCTGCCGCCCCTCTCGAGCATCCACAGCCAGCGGCTGAGCTGTTCGACGGCCACACCCTGGGCGAGCTGCGGGATGGGCACCTCGACAAAGACACCGAGGCCAAGTGACGCCACCACAATGGGCAGCAGGCTCCTGAGGATGGGCAGGATGACGGCGGGGGTGAATTGAATGGGGTGGGAGTCGATGAGGGCCTCCAGCTGTGAGTAGCTCCTGACGCTTTTGGCGACAGTGGGTGCGAGATCTTGCGGCACGTCAGAGGCATCGATGGCACGCTGCTGGTGGTGGTGGTGGTTGACGGGCGATGCACCGCCGTCACCTGCACAACACACACGTACACACACACACACACACACAGAGAGAGAGAGAGAGGTCAGTGTGTCTGCATGGTTGTGTCTGTCTGCAGTGAATGTGTTGGTCACCATTGGCGGCAGACGCAGCTGACGATACTGACGGCTCGTCGGTCGAGCAAGTACCTCCATCCACCATATGAGTGAATGGCAGGTGTGACGATCTGTCCACATCCGAGCGGCGTGTTGTCGCTTCCCTACCTCAATGGGCTGCTTGGCCTTCCCTGATGGGCTCAGATACCTGCGGTGGAGTGCTGGTCCTCCTCTTTCACTCGCCGCAAAATGACACCGGAGGTGCGGCAACCACAAAGGCTGTCATTGCTGATGTCATCAGGCCCTCCTGCCCACCCTCTCTCACCTCAATGCGTCAGAACAGCGGGAGCCAGAGAGATGACACCCAGATCTGTGCGGATCGAGAGCATCACAACAGCTCTTCAATCATCTCCCAGACACTTCACACGGCCCTGCTATCGCAAAGAAGGCAAAGAAGGAAAGAGATCTGAAACCCAAGCTCGCAAACATCGCTTTCCTGTCGCTTTTTCGCGGAGGTCAGAAGGCAGCAAGAGAAGTTGACGAAGCATCGAAATGCTGCAAACACCTCTGTTGTGTGGCTGCAGATCTCTCATCTCACGCTTCGCTGACACCTCACGCCAGTTACGATGCAGTCCCCGTCTGCACCGCCCTCACCTTCTCCCCCCAGCCGTCCCCTCTTCCAGCCCGCCGACCTCTTTGACCTGTCATTGCCCGTCAGCAAGATGGCCGCCATGGCCATGTCGACTGACGCCAACAGAAGAGCCGCTCTCCGCTCGCAGATTACCAACCGCACTCGGCAACAGGAGCTGCTGGGCCACACCACGGAGACCATCAACAGCACGCTGCTCAACAGCGTCCAGCAGCACATCGACAAGGCCATTAGTCGTCTCGGTCTGCAGGACGTCTTCGCATTCGACATTGGCGATGATGTGGAGGGCGGCCTGAAGATCGTTTATCTGCTGGAGGAGGGCACTGGCGAGGAGTGGCGGGCAATCGGGCGGTTCCTTCGGCTGGCATTCATCTACCGGCTGACCCCCAACACGACGCGGCCCCTGCAGATATCGGCTGACGCACTGCCCACAGCAACGGCCCTCTGTCAGCTGCCTCTCGCATTGGCCATCTACAAGATGGTCGGCCGTCAGCTCACACACAGAGGGACCAGCCTGGAGCTGCAGCAAACCGACAACGGCCACCACTGGATCGCCAGCATGGGTCTGTTTCGTGTCCTGCCGTTGGGTGAGCTGCCGGCCGGCCATCCATACGTTGGGGGCTACAAGCGGACCGACCCCGTCATTCGCTGCAGCAGTTACCTCTTCCGTTCATTCTCGGCATTCCTCCTGCACACGCTGCTCGCCTGGTGGTACCGTGAACAGGGGGTGGGCGAGAGGAGGGTCGTCGTGAGAGGGGGTGGCCATGGCGACCGTCGTTATGACCATCTGCTGACTGAGGGCATCACGGAGGATCAGGGCGTCGCTGTCGACTGCCGCTACAATCGGGGCGATCTGAACGATGCCGAAGACCGCCGTCTTGTGATTGTGAAGGGCTTTCGGCCCAACGACATCGTCGCTGCCCGTCTGTTGGTGACGTCGGGCGGCATCCACCTGTTCACGACCGAGGCACCTGTCGCCAATTGGCCTCAGCCGCTCGCTGTCCGCTATCCCATTTCGATGCCCCTGTGGTGTGGTGTGCTGCGGCGATTCGGTCTCGAGAGTGACGTCATCAACAGGGGGAGCGTTCTAGCGAGGGATGATGAGTGGTGACAGATCGATAAGGTTAGGCTGTCGATGTGAGTGTGCGGGGGAGTGGGGGGACAGATGTCTGATTGATGGCTGAGAAAGAAAGACCCGATGGATGACATACATAGCGATACGAGACGATACATGGACCGAACAGGCAGGCCAGGCCGTCCCTCTGTGTGATGATGATTTCAATCAATCATTCACACCTGTATGTATTGATTGGTGCATTGATTGCATTCTACGCGACAGGCACGGTTAGTTAGTTAGCCCCAGATATCACACACGCACACCAAAACGTACACACGTATGCAAATTGGCTGGCTACACACATACGCACCGTACATGTAATGAAGCCACATATAATATATATATAAAGCTACTGACTGACGGACACACGCCTCCCCTCCCCTCCCCTCCCTCCCTCCTCTGTCCGATTCGATATCACCAACACACGCGTAGTGTGTTTGGGCTGGCCTACTTGCGCCCCCACGAGTTTTGCCTCGAAAACAGCAAGGGGTAGATTTGCCCGCCACAAAGGAGCCCAAATTGACTTCCCCCGAACAAGCCCACGTACACACCACACACATACACACACATGGGGCAAATGATAAGTGACACCTTGCCACATAAAAGGCCTAGCTGAGAATGACCGTCCACGCCTACAAAAACACTCCCTCCCTCCCTCTAGCTGGGTTATCTTCACACTCACTCACCTCTGCCGCCTGCAGTGCATCAGACGACACAATGCGCAATGATGGACAGCCGTGGGCGTGCTCTCTCGCGTCTCTCTCTCCCCCACGCACCTGCTTGCAGGGTTTGAGTCGCGTCTCGAGTACGACAGGGGATAGATCTGCTCGCCCCGCACCAGGCCGAACTGATGATCCGGATCGACAACACGGTGCCCCTGATGGATGCATGGACAAAAACACAGGAGGGAGGCGTATACACTTTCTTCGGCGCACCCACGCACCTGGAGGAATTGGGTTGCGTCCGCTGATGACTCGAACTGGATGAAGCAGAGTCCCCCGCCGTCTCCCCTCTCTCGCCGCACGTCCACGGGCGAAGGGCAGCTCCTTCCCTGCAAACGAGACAGCATGGCGCATGTGTGAGTGAGAGCTCAGGGGGGAAGCTGCATGGATGCATGCATCCATACCTCTGTGGCCAGCCTCTCCAGATCGTTAAGGCTCTCATATGGGGACCACCGATAGACAGTTATCTGTCACACAGGACAGCCAGAACAGCCAACCAATTGGGAGAACGGACGAATGGGTCTTGGCTTAGCTTTGGCTGCCTAGCCTACCCACCGTGTTTGTTGCCGCGTGTATGGGAATCTCTACTCGCGCCAGCGGCGAGCGGGATCGTGACCGATGGCGGCGACGGGGCGAGGGCGACCAGGGGTGAGGTGTGCGTCGAGGTGAGGGTGGGCCGTCCAGACTGTTCTTGGCTTTGATGGAGTTGTGCTTGGAGTACTGCAGAGGGTAGATGTGCCCCTCCCGCACCAGACCATAGCGGCACGGCGCGTTGACACGGTGCGCCTGACACACACACACACACACACACACGGTGTCGACGCCATGCTTCCATCCCCTTTGGATGACTTCACTGACCTCGAGGAACATGATGGCGTCGTCTGGCGTCGAAAACTGAATGAAGCACAAATTGCCCTCCCTCGAGTCTCGGCGCAGATCCAATGGCGAGGGGCAGTCGGCGGGCTGCCCCTGCACCATGCACACACACACACACACACACACACATCTCCACGGAAGCGTCCACACACATACGGCGCACGTACCTCTTTGGCCAGTTTCTCCAGTTTCGCAAGAGGTTCATTGAAAGGCCACTTCTCTACCACTACCTGCAGTGATGTCACACACAGATGGGTGCTGAGTGCTCGGCTCGTGTGTGGTCTTTTTGGCCGCCCACGTTGTTTGCTGCGTACCGTGTCCGTTGCCGTGCACATGGGCGAGCGTGACCGTGACCGCCGGCAGCGACGGGGGGAGGGCGACCAGGGATGGCGCCGTCGGCTATGTGGCCTGACACAGACGACATTCATGTGAATGTGTCATTGTGCCTGAAGAGTCAGACGCCGTACGTACCGCATCTCTGCAGACACAAAACACATTCACATGCAATGAATGGGCCGTCCGTCAGTCCATCTCGTGTGTGTTTGCCTTTGCTGATCACCTCCGCTGAAGGATCGCTCTTGGCGACCCTGCAGCCCACGAAAAGGATGCGGGGGAGACAGCGGGCGGCGAGGAGGAGAACGCCGGTCGTCATAGCCCTGAGCAATGAGTACACACATGGGCAGAAACCTGCTCTGTGTGCACATCACATGTACTGTACGTGTCGATGGAGTGGTCGTCGGTCGTCACGCCACGGGCTCCGACTGTCAGGACGATGCTGCAAGCCGCGCATCCGTCCAAAACACACACGCGCACACACACACACACACACATGGATGGTTGGATGGATGGATGGATGGATGCGGGCCGGCTCGCGTACGCTGTAGTATTGGCTATGACAGTCGCGCGAGTGCGAAGGGTCTATATCAAGTTCACGTCGGCTATGAGCAAAGAGACAGAAACTGACAGACAGAAGCCCAAAGACCGATCTCGCGATAGATATGATACATGGAGTGGGCAGTTGGCCTACTCCATGCTGTCAGGGCGGCGTCCGACTCTGTCAATGGACTGCGACATGCCCCCGCCTACACACAGACGCACCGCACGCACGAAGGAGCAGAATCTGTGTCTGTCTGTCCACTCCTGTGTGTGTGCGCGCACCAGAAGGTGCTTTTGGATGGCCTTGCTGCGGCTGCGGCTGGGCTGACGGCCCTGCTACGGGCACCCACACACGCCCCTGTGCACCCACACACACACACGCGCGCGCAGAGAGAGAGAGAGAGAGAGAGCAATGGGAGGATACTATACTTGTGGCTGGTTTGGTGAGTGGATGGCTTACACCGCGTGTGTTGAAGAGCTGCCCGAGCCACTCGCTGAGGTCACCCGACGCCCCCAGCTTCTCGGGCTTGCCGCGAAACCACCTCTCATGGATGTCGCCGGGCGTCGTGCCGCTCATGTCGGACAAGTGGGAACCCTTGAAGCCACACTGATAGAGAAACGTACATCGCAACAGCAACGATGTGTCAGTGTGTCTGTGTGTGTTGCGATGAATGATAGGATAGGTACCTCTCGGATGATCTGCAGGACGTCCTTGGCCAGCTGCCTCTTCTCATCTCGCTTCAAGGAATTGACCAGGCCGGTGTGGTCGACGTCGCCAAGAGGTATCTCGACACAGCCGGGAGGAGAAGGCCCCTCTTTCTCTCCCTCGGTAGTGTGGTGCCCAGGCTCAATTTTGACTCCCTCTTCCGTTCTCTCCCTCTTGGCCGGCTCAGCGGCCGCTGCTGCTTTCGGTGGTTGTGGCGGTCGGGACGGCTGGTTGGTAGTCCTGTTTGGCACCCGTGGCTCCTGCTTGGCGACGGCAGGAGGAGCACTGGCTGGGATGCTGGACGGTGCTGCTGGTGGTGCCTGCCTGCTGCCATCCATCGGCCGGTCCACTTCCAGCCCGTTATGCATCGGCTGGTCCTCTTGCGGAGAGGGATCGGCATCTGGGGGCTGGCGGTTCAGTGGTGGGAAAACGACGCCATGGTGCTGGTGGTCGGTGGCGTCAGGCATTGCTGCGTCCTCGGCAGCAGACACACGGGGTGTGGGGGGCCGGACAGGGGGGCGCACGGCAGCCGCGAGGAGGGGAGGGGGAGGGGGAGGGGCGGATGGGCCATGGAGGGATACAGCTGCTGCCGAAGTAGGCGGAAGAAGCAGTGGGCCCTGAACGCACCCAGACCCACATTGACGGCCAATGTCGTTGCCTGCCTGGATGCCTCACCGTGTGTGGTGGGGCGTCGGCCATCTCTGCTGCATCTTCGGCCTGCTCATGCTGCTGCTGCTGCTGTGGTGGTGGTGTTGGTGGTGGTGGTGGTATGCCCTCAGCGTGCTCCTCCGCCGCATCGCCGCCCTCCCCCTCTCCCTGGCCGCCCTCGTCGCTGCTGTCCTCGAAGTCGTCGATTGCACGCTCCCACCACTCCTGCCCGAGTCGGCTGGGATGTGGCTGCGGATGGTGCGACTGTGATCCAAGAGACAAACGGGGCGCAGCCACGAGAGGGCCAGGGGCAGGCAGAGGACCCTGGACATGCCATTGCGGCGGTTGGGCTGGTTCAGACGCCGCTGCGTCTCCATTGCCCATCTGCTCGTCAGCCACTGCATCCATCCATCCATCCTTCCTCTCTTCCACTGACTCACCAGGTTGGGTTGCGCGCCTGGCCTTGGCCGACGCCTTGACGTCGAGCACGAGATCGCCGTCACCTGAATGCAGCCAGCCACACCCCACACAAAAGGAGAGCGTCTCCCCCACCCCATCTGATTGTTCCTTCGTCCGTCACTCACTCACTCACTCACTCACCTTTGTCCCGCTTCTTCACCGATAAGGCAAAGGTGACGCCATCGGGCTGCCGTGCGGCAGGCACAGGTACAGCTGGTGCTCTCTGCTCCTCCTCGGCTACATGACAGACACGCACACTTGTCCACCATCGCTTTGCGTCTTTCTGCGTGTGTGTGTGTGTCTGTGTGTGTGCTTGCCTTCATCGCCGTTCCCAGCGCCGTTCTTGTCGTCATGATTGCTCTCGCGGACAGACCCACCACCCACTGGATGAGTTGAATCCATTCATCCATCCATTCACCAACGGCCATCCATCAGATTCTCCGCTCACCGTGTGGTATTTTGCGGCCGATGATGCGCCTGCCGGCCTCCTCAGTGAAGCGGAACTTCTCAACACCGTGCTTGAGCACACTCTTGACCTTGTAAGTGAGCGACGGGGAGAAGCTCCACGCCTTCTTGGTGCCTTTGGTGCGGGTGGCCACGCCATGGACATAGTAGCTGTGGCTGTTTGGGCCGCTCCCACTCCCAGCGAGAAACGGCCCTATGGTGACGTTGACGGCGTCGATGTTTGACGTGGGAGAGGGGGAGGGGGCGGGGGTGAAGGTGGCCGTCACGTGAGGGTGTTGGTTGAGGCGGGAGAAGGCGCTGCCCTTGACGCTGTCCTTGAGGTGCATGTAGTGGCGCTCGCAGGAAGTACAGACGTCCTCCGGATCACCGCCACCAGCAGCAGCCAGATCTACATGTATGGCACATGCAACCAAGATGACACGTCTGCCTTGCCTTCCTGCCTGAGTGTGTATGCGCACCTGCTGGTCCGTCGGGCCTGTGTTGTTCATCACTGTCATTCTCCTCCTCAAAGTCGGTCACTAAAACCACAACGAAGGCATATACAGACGCACATAGAGGAACGATCGACGTACGGAAGCAACGCAGAGGCGTGTATATACGCACAGATCCTTGCGTGTCGTACCTCTTGCGCCGGCCCGACTGCTCATGCCTGCATGAAGGCCGACCGGTCTGGGCCTCCGGGGCTCGCGCTTGACGAGCCCGGATGTGACTCAACAGTGTGAGAGGCCGACGAGGGCGAAAGATCAAGGCATTTTCTGTGGAGATCTTCCTCCTGCTAAAGCTCGCGATCTGCGGCTGACACACACACACACACACACACACATGACGGCTCATCGATGTGTGTGTGTGTGTGTGTGTGTGTGTGTCAGCCGCTGAAGGTGGCGGTTTGCTCGGCAGCGACTCGCAAGTAGATGAGTCGGTCAGTAACTGCAACGAATGGAAGGCCTCCCATTAGACACTCGTCACCGCTTGATTGTGTTGCCTCATGTGTGTGTTTAGGTTGGTGTGCTGCGCAACATCTCCGACACTCTCACTACGCTAGAGGGACTACACTCACAGGTAGCTCTCTCTCTCTGTCACCTGCGGCACAAACACACCACATCAGCCATGCCTTCGCTATTTGTGTGTTCTGTGTGTGTGTGTGTCAGGGGCCGCCGGAGGCACTCAATTACCTGTCGACGAAGGCCGCGGTGAGCGACCTGAGAGGGATGTGTAAGTGTGACGTGTGTGAGTGAATGCGGCATGTGTGTGTGTGTGTGTGCAGGAGTCGCCCATGAGAGCATCTCGAGTCAAGATGGCCAACGGTGCGCTCTCGAAGCTCTTCGCGTCCATGGAGGCTTACAATTCTGCCGTGTCGGATCTCAAAGGATTGGCTCTGGTGGGTGGGTGGGCATCAGTGGATGGATGCTGTGTGTTCATCTTGCCCTCTGTGGATGCGTTTGTGTGATTGATGCGATGCGATGTGTGCAGCTGGAGGGCAACTTCAAGAAGTTCGCACTCACGTCGTCATCCGCCGCCGCTCCTGGTGGAGGTGGTGGAGGTGGTGGTGGTGCCGTCCCCTCCAGCCCACACTTGTTCGTGCAGCGGCTGTACGGCAGGCTGCCACCGGAGCTCCACCACACACTCGCCAAATTGATCGGTCCAGAGGGCCAGGAGGCCACCACCCTCACCCAGCTCAGCAACACCATGGCCAGCACGTCACACGCCGGCAGCAGTGCAGTCGAGACCGCCGTGACGTCGGCCATCGACGGCCTCATCAGGAACAAGGGACTGGAGAACATCATCGGCTACCAAACGCTGCGTCAGTCCACCAGTCGCCGGCGTGTGTTTCGGCTGATCCGTCTGCGGTACGTGCTGGAGGTGGGGGGCGACTGGTCGGGCAGTGTGGCGCTGCTGCGGCTTGCTAAGAACCTCAAGCGGATCCAACAGCTGCCCCTCCAGCTGGGTGAGGGCGATGTGAGGCGTGCGGGCACCAAGGAGGATATCGACAGCCGACTGGCGAGCATGCGGCAGTATGGCCTCTTCGGCAATCGCCTAGATGGCGACTTGGGGCTGACACGGGGGGCGGCGGGTGAGGTTGTGTGGGGGGGTCGGACATGGGTTGTTTGTCGGGAGCGGCTGGGCGGGATACCGGTGAAGGTGCACAAACCTGAGACAGTGCCCGCCGAGTACAGAGATACCTTCGACCCCAGCGACCCTCCGTGCCGATGTAAGAGGCATGAGCAGGTGTTATGCTCACTTTTCGATGTCCGTCTGTCTGTCTGTCTGTCTGTTCGTCTGTCTGTCCGTCTGCAGGCATCTATCACGAGTATCGTAGCTTCCGCGAGATTGTGATGACTCGGTATGTACGCAACAAACGCATGCGATCACAATAAGGCAGCGTGTCGCATTCCGTGCCTTCCCTCCTTTGATCTTCTAGTATGCTCCATGGGGGACCTTGGGAGAGTGTGACGGTGGCCCGTCATCCTCCGTCGTCTGCTCCCTCCTCCCGCATCGGTGAGCTC